AAAAGGTTCCCCTAATTTTGAGAAATCCCTTCATATAGCTTCTAGCGGGCCTGGGGCCTCGAAATGAAGCCAAGACTATCCCTCCAAGACGGGGCTGCCGTGGGTTTAGGGAGGAAGTCCGTATAGGCTAAGGATGATCATGTTGTTTGCGGTTAGGGTCTAGCGTTTAGGGTTGAGGGTTATGGTTTAGGGTTTAGGGTCAGGGTTTAGGTCGCACATGGTCATATCTAATGGCATACTTTCATGGTGCCTCAACAACATTCAAGAGCACCCGGATGTAAATCTTGATTGTTAAAACCGAACCCCTAAGCCCTGGACCCTGAAAAGCCCTGAACTTTGGTCTCCCACAACCACCAGGTACCCCGGTAGTACCCTTTTGCCCTTCTCATTTTTGGGGTCTCCTTATTAAAATTGAATAGTAGGAAAAAGGGTAACCTTATTATTAATGGGTTACTGGGGAACCTAGACCATGGGCCCCAAGAATATGAGGCCCCTAGTGTTGCGGGGTGCTGGGGCACCTGGACACGTGGAGGGTGCACCTGGGAGGTGTGCATCGCCTGGTTTAGGGTCCCATGATTGGGGCCTGTATTAGCTCACAACCCTAGAGCCCCTAAGCTTGGATCCATGATTCAACTCTACATTCACCATTTGAAGTGTTTTTTTTGGTGGAATTCTTCTTAGAGCCGATAAGATATCACATGAGGCACCCTAAGCCCTAAGTCCGCGACCCTTTTGGCCCTACACCCTCAACCCCCTATGAGAGCAGGTTCTGTCTTGCCATCGTGCGCGTTAAGCCGACCCAAGCGCCGCTCTCGGTTGCCCTCGGCTCTTTCAGCTTAGGGCTTAGGGTTTAGGGTTTATGTTTGTACGGGCTTCAGGCTTGGGGATATTACCCAAGTAAGGGAAGATGAAATGAAAAGGAGCATGGAACACGAAATGAACATTGTTATTGAGGTTTAGGGTTGGGGTGTAGGATTTAGGTTTGTAACTAGACCCCTAGACCCTACCCCTTGTTAGGCTACCTAACCGTATGTCTAGTATTTTCTAAATCCAAGTTGGGTACCCTATAAAAGGGGTAGGGTATAGAGGAATAGCAGGAAAAATCTGGGCTCAATTAGGTAATTAGGTTTGGGTCTTGGGGATAAGCACGACTTGAGGAGGAGGATCTCTTTTTTCATTCCCCGGGAGATACTTAGGGTCAAGGGTGTAGGGTCCGGTTCTGACTGAACCTATCCTTTGATTTGAACATCGCGGTTTAAGCTTTAGGGTGCCGAAATCCTTCCGTAGAAGGTATCTGCCAAACATTAAACCAAAGCCGCAACCTTACCACCCATTCAACTCTCTATCTTGTTGAGGAAGACTATTCGCTGCTCCGCCCAGAAAAGAAACTGTATGAGTTGCTAGAAAAGGGGCACTGTTGATGCTTTAGGAGAACTCTTGGACCGCCTTTTTGAAGTGCTTCACCCCCCTAACAAGAGACCTTCCCGAAAAAAAACATGAACTCTTAATGAATACCATCCATGTATGGGGGGATGGATATGAATTCTCAGATGGTGATTGCTACGGGGAGGTGATTAGACTATGACTTCCGGTCTGTAGTACCATAGGCCCAAGTTGACAAGTGGTGCCCTGAAACCTAAGCCCTCATCTGGCCCTCATGGCCCCTAAACGCCATTTGAAAATACTTCTTGATTTCTTCCTTCCAAGAAACTGAGGAAACAGCTGAAGGTTTTGGGGTTTGGGCCTAGGGTTTAGGGCCTTTGGTTTTCCAGGGTTCCAGCGCAGGGATGGAGACGAGATGAGACGAGGTTCAAAAGTCTGTCAGGCGCATCTGTAGGAGAGCTACAGCGAGTCAGCTAGCCGCATAGATTTCTGGGTTCTAGGAGGTTTAGGGGGACAAGGCAAAGCTCTAAACCTCTCTAAACAGACAAACCATGGACAAGGTCGTCGAGATGAGGAAGTCGATCCGTCCTATCAGTCGAGAGCTCAGTTTGTTCTGGTCCCAGTTGAGCGTCTAGGTCAAATGCTCAAGAAGACATGGGTGGTTGTCAAAATTATGGTCCTTTTTTGGGTCCCTATTATAATACGGCCCCTAATATTTAGGGTACCCAAAAAGGGACCATATTTTGACAACCAACCACATGAAGCCAGAAAAATCCGCCGCTCTTGAAAAACCTTGGCTGATGTAATTTCTTCTCGCTGTCCATTCATCCCTGACATCCCAATCCCAGTCCAAAATCACAGGTGCTCACATGAACTTGAGTCTAAACTCCTAATATCACCCATAAAAACCATATGAGTAGTATTCCATTTGGGGATACCATGGTACCCAATATAGAGTAAGATTCTATCCTCCTTTTGGGTATAATACAAGGAATAGTAATATAATCTTACTAGGTTCAACCACCAAAAGAAACTACTGATATACTACTCCCCTATTTAATTCCGTATATAACCCCCCTTTAAGGAGGTTAGACTATAGTTCAAATGTGGCAACGACCTGGGACCATCATTGGGACAACCTCCCACATGTGCCCAAACCCCAAATCCTAAGCAGCCTAACGGTTTAGGGTTTAGGGGTTTAGGGTTTAGGGCTTAGGGATCATGAATCCTTAGGCCGTATATGCCCCATACCCGAAATCATAAATCCTTGTAACCTCTAAACCCTAAATCCCTAAACCCTAAACTGCCCTAGACCCTAAATCCTAAACTCTAAATCCTAGACGCTAAAACCCTACAACCTGAACCCCTTAAAACCTTCTCCCAAACAACCTTCAACGTGACTTCGCGAGCTGCATTCGAGGTGAGGACGGTGGCAAGAAGATGGTCCAGGAGTGTATTGCAGGGATCATTAAATCGTTGCACGAGTCAGAGTAAGTTGAAAAAGATCCCGTTTAACCAATGAGTCTCATGGCATTGCAGGTTGCTGCAAGCATCTGTGTTAGTACGATCAGAATATGGTCAGGGGTGGAGAACAGCCATGATTTGCCAGATTTTGCTCATACTTGGTTGCTTAAAGTGACCCTTGAACCTGAGGCTTTTGGCCCCCTGCTAGCATCGTGCCCCTGCCTATAGCGCGTCCTTGCGATATCATGCCATCCACCGCCACCAACGTTGCCATGGCCGGCGTCGGCGCCTTCGCAGCAGCCAGCGCCCTGAGCAGTGCCTTCGTGGCACCGGCTGGCCAGATCCAGCACAGCGAGCCTCAGGTGCAGAAGACCAACCTCCGCGCAGCAGGCTATGGCTCCTCCCAGGCTTCCGGTGTTGGCGCCATGGCTGGCCTCGGTGCCGTGGCAGGCCTTGCCGCAGCAGGCGTGGCAGGCAAGCGTGCCAGCAAGGGCCGCACCTCCCTCCAGGCCGTGGGCGTCGGCATCAACGGCTTCGGCCGCATCGGCCGCCAGGTGGCCCGCATCGCCATGAAGGATCCGGAGACCGACCTGAAGCTGATCAACGCCAGCTATGATGCTGACTACTTGGCTTACATGATGAAGTATGATACGATTCATGGAAAGTATGATGGCACCGTAGAGGTGGATGGCGACTCCTTGGTCATCGATGGCCAGAAGGTGGCGCTGTCACACACCCGTGACCCGGCAGAGATTCCTTTCGGTGAGCACGGTGCGGAGTATGTCTGCGAGTCCACGGGCGTGTTCCTGACCACCGAGAAAGTCCAGCCCCACTTAAAGGCCGGTGCCAAGAAGGTGATCTTCTCCGCCCCTGCCAAGGACGACTCCCACACCATCGTCATGGGCGTCAACGAGGACACCTACGACCCGTCCATGGAGTGCGTGTCCTGCGCCTCCTGCACTACCAACGGCCTTGCGCCGGCCGTCCGTGTCCTGCATGAGAAGTTCGGCATCAAGCGTGGCCTGATGACCACCTGCCACGCCATGACCGCTTCCCAGCCCACTGTTGATGGCACCTCCAAGAAAGACTGGCGCGGCGGACGTGCCGGCCCCGGAAACATCATTCCCAGCTCCACGGGTGCGGCCAAGGCAGTGGCAAAAGTCATCCCGGACGTGAAGGGCAAGCTCACCGGCATGGCGCTGCGAGTGCCTACCATTGACGTCTCTGTGGTGGACCTGACAGTGGAGCTCGAGAAGGAGACCACCTACGAGGAGATCTGCGCCGAGATGAAGAAGCGTTCGGAGGGAGACATGAAGGGCTACCTGGGCTACACTGATGAGGCCCTCGTGTCCACCGACTTCGAGACCTGCCCGATCTCTTGCACCTTCGACTCCAAGGCCGGCATCATGCTTGACCCCTCCTTCGTCAAGGTCGTGTGCTGGTATGACAATGTACCTGGGTCGCTCTTAAAGACCTCTTGTTACAATGATTTGGCTATCTGGTAGAGAATTGGGTTTTCCCATACCTGAACAGGATTGAACAGGTAAATTAGTTCAAATTAAAACGCTTTTCAGCTCCCACACAAACAAACCCGTGTCCGTTTCCCCACAAGGATCCTTGTTCAGGCTCGTTAATACAGTTTCCATGTTCCTCTTGGATCCTATTTGATTCTCCATCATGGTGACTTGATACAGGTCCTGGACAGGAGGATTCAGATTTCATAGGGTTTTTGTATATCCAACTTTTCCTCAAAGCCCAATCATTCAATCCCAGAGCCCTAAACCCTCAAACCCTAAACCCGAAACATGCCTAAACCTTAAAAACACCTTAAACCCTAATCTTAAACCCAAATCACCAGCTTAACCCAGGAGTGGGGCTACTCTTGCCGCGTGGTGGACTTGATCAAGCACATGGCCAAGGAGGATGCCAAAGCCTAAGTTTCCGATGCGAGGCTTCCGAAGTATTTAAAGAGGCATGCGCCAAGTAGTAAGTAGTCATGAGTTACTGCCAGGAGCTCAAAAGCTGGGAAAAAAACCGGCCCAACACCGTTAAAAAAGACAAGCCAAAAAGCCATTATGCTAGCAGAAGAGCCTGCTTCACCAACAAAACTCATTTACCCCTCCGAGCTCCATTTTTCCCTTAACACGCCGCCAGCGCCCTCACGTGCGCCGGGTGAGAGACGACGGATGTGCAGTCCAAAAAGACTCCATTCATGCATGCATTTGCTGTGCCAGATAATCAGAGTGCGGGTGTGTGCAAACTAGGGGTTCCTCATTGGGACCTCATATAAAGAGGATGGTTTAGGGTTTAGGGTTTAGATATTTGGGATACCACCCAAAAAAAGTTTAGGACGGCTTGTTGCAGGGTGAGTATCATGAATGTTGGCGTGTCGACATGATAAAATGCCTCCTTGCTGAGGATCCCATACGCGGCTTAATTGGGTTTAGAGTATAGGGAATAGGGCTTAGGGTATAGGGTTTACAGCAAGGAATCCCTAAACCTCCATGGATAGTAAAGAATGTACCTATCTAGACCCCAACAGAATGTAAAATAATGGCCTTTATGGCTATTATTCTGAGTTTAGGACTATTATATATACTTTTGGGGTTTAGGTACAAACTAGTCCATGCATAAGCGGTACTAGACTGTAGGTGATTGGGGGGGGTGCAAGTAGAACCCTTCGGGTTTAGGGTTTCAATCTTGATGTTAAAGCTCTTGGTGCTCTCCAATTAAGCAAGGCGCAGGGAGTTGACAAGTACGTGAATCTCAAAAATTCGTAAAACAAATCGCCTGCATGGATGTCTTTGTGCGCTTGAGCTCTTTGAACTTAGGCTTCGTTTAGATTTGTGTTTGAGGTCCAGGTACTTGTTCATGTGTTGGCCTCCCCAATTACCTGCAGACGCGCATGTAGCAAAGGTAAGCTTTCTTAGTGGATGAGTATAGCAACAAAACTTTTGTTGCAGGCATACTGTAGTGGGGGTGCGAATACACTAAACCCACACCCCTTAACCCTCAACCCTAAACCCTTAAACCTTAAACCCTAAACCCTTAAACCCTAACCCGGAACCATAAAGTTGCTGATCCATTCCCCCACTCCTAAACAGTGCCCGTAGGGAAGAAGGAGGCAAAAACGGTTTTAGGGTTTAGGGTTTATGGTTATAGCGTTCAGGGATTAGGGTTTAGGGTTATAAGGTTTAGGGTTTAGTTAAGCACCCAGATTCTTCAAAACAACAGGGTCTAACAGCCCTAAACCCTAAACCCTAAACCCTACATCGTCTTTGCTAACAGATACTTATCGTGGCCGAGACCATGTCTGAGCCACCCGACGTAATCCTAGATTTCCCCCCGGCAGTAGAAATTCAGAATGACCCCAAAGCAAGAATCTAAGGATCTCAATAGCCCAATCTAGTGCAAAATATAGGTATCGTTTGCATCCCAAGCCCTAAGCCAAATACTTTCGTTGGCGCACTTGGATCTCTAAATCCTAAACCCTTATGGGAAAGCGAGCGAAGGAGCTTTTGTGGAACTCCGCCTTGTTAGCATCTTCGGATGAGGCTCCGCGCGGGCTGTCGGCATGCTTACTGGTGCTGAGGGGAGTCGGGGAGAGAACATGTGTGTCATAGTTTCCACCAATAGGGGGACCCCAACACAGACCCCGAAGTGCTACAATCCTGAGTATTTGGAACCAGAAAATGGTGCCCCTAATTTTGGAAAGCACCCATATATATATATATGTATATATATATGGTCCCCCCCCCCAAGATCCATATTGAA